ATTGCACGGAACATCAAAGAACTGAGAACAATAATGGTCACAATACCGGTGAATGATTTCATAGAACATCAAAGAACTGAGAACAATAATGGTCACAGTACCGGTGAATGATTTCATAGAACATTAAAGAACTGAGAACAATAATGGTCACAGTACCGGTGAATGATTTCATGGAACATCCAAAAACTGAGAACACTAATGGTCACAGTACCGGTAAATGATTTCACGGAACATCAAAGAGCGGATAACAATAATAGTCACAGTACCGGTGAATGATTTCATGGAACATCAAAGAACTGAGAACAATAATGGTCACAGTACCGGTGAATGATTTCATGGAACATCAAAGAACTGAGAACAATAATGATCACAGTACCTGTGAAAGATTTTATTGAACATCAAAGAACAGAACAATAATAGTCACAGTACCGGTGAATGATTTCATGCAACATCAAAGAACTGAGAACAATAATGGTCACAGTACCGGTGAAAGATTTCATGGAACATCAAAGAACTGAGAACAATAATGATCACAGTACCTGTGAAAGATTTTATTGAACATCAAAGAACAGAACAATAATAGTCACAGTACCGGTGAATGATTTCATGCAACATCAAAGAACTGAGAACAATAATGGTCACAGTACCGGTAAATGATTTCATGGAACATCAAAGAACTGAGAACAATAATGGTCACCGTACCGGTAAATGATTTCATGGAACATCAAAGAACAGAACAGTAATGGTCACAGTACCGGTGAAAGATTTTATGGAACGTCAAAGAACAGAACAATAATGGTCACAGTACCGGTTAAAGCTTTTATGGAACATCAAAGAACAGAACAATAATGGTCACAGTACCGGTGAAAGATTTTATGGAACATCAAAGAACAGAACAATAATGGTCACAGTACCGGTACCGCTACTGCATGAGAAACGTAGGCTACAAGTTGAGTAGCCGACCAAGAAAGAGATGGATGAAGGGTGTAAAGGAGACAGTACAGTTGTTCTTTGTTCATGGTTCATTTTAAAGATCATCTGTATTGTACATTGGACATAACTATAAGTATTCCGATCTCCTCCTAAATACTAAAAGTGTTTTCAGGATAATAACTCCTATTCTATTCTCGATGATATAACGACGGGTGGCGCCTGCATGGATTTTCCTGTCTCGCAGCTCTAATTGCTATACTCATGGTATGCAGTCCATTCAGGGAAAAATAATTTTCCACGAAACCAAAAGCCTCACAGCGTTTAACCTATCGTATAGCATTGATGATGTCTCTTCTCTCCATAGATGGCTCATTTCTGATTGTCGCACTGACAGCCAGAGCGTCTGCTCCTTCATTGCCTTTCTCACCAGCATGCCTTGAGACAAAAATGAAGGTGATTTTGCGAAATGCTGCGATAGAGACAACCCAGAAACTTAATATGACATTGACACAAGCTAAGTAACAATCAAAAGACAGGAAACTACGTGTCTCCCCTCTGCCGTGCTTTAGGACATAAGCAATAGGACTCACATAGAGAGGAAAGATATCAAACCGAATTAAAAGTAGATCCGCGAGCTTTACAATATAACAAACACAAACGAAAAGTGAACTTTGCGGCTAAAGAGGCTGTCCAACAATAATATACAAAGAAATATATTCTCTAAGCAAAACGCACAAATTGTAAAAGAGATTGATTTCTAGGCGCTCACGCACTGGGTGTGGGTGTTACGTGAAAGCAGCAAGCGATGACGCTATCATACCATCAGAAGTTGTTTCTCTGACACTTTGCTACAAGCGGGGAAGTTAGCAGCTCCCGCTCTGTTCATTCCATGCTTGTATTCACACGTATAATAAAGCATCTTTGTTCACATACATCTGCAGTGTAGTGCCAACATTAGGAGTCCAGCCAACATGAAAACAAACAGGCCCATCTGCCCAACCATGTACTGCCAAGGAAATATGACAGAACTGAATCCAGCACAGTGGGCCCGCTGTAAAATGCTAGAACGTGTTAGTTTGTGTAGAAGAGCTGATTGTGAATCAGACATGAGAATCGTTTGCCAAAGTCTACAAGTTTCTGCTAACTGCTTACTGTTGATTGGACTCACTTCCTACACACCAGGTCGTGCACACCGGATCGGGAAATATGTGGTGACGCCAGGAAACACCAGCCCTGGGCGGCCCAACTTTAGCAGCTGACATTGAAAACTGCAGAGGTTCGGGTAAGTTGTCTCTTCCGTGACCTTTCTGCTGGCCTGCGATAGTTCTACACTCTCCGCCTTTGTCTGTATGTGTCGTTAACGTGGTCAGGTACACCTGTAGTAAATGCTTGAATTAGACTCGAGCCCGTGCAAGCTATAGACTATGTCCGTCCTGGACCTTGTCCAGCTGACCTTGACAGCTTCCTTCAAACTTTCTGATAACGTTCTTTTCCACCCTTACCCCCACGCTGCTTCGGTCTCTCTCTCTCTCTCTCTCTCTCTCTCTCTCTCTCTCTCTCTCTCTCTCTCTGGTGTGTGCGTGCGTGTGTGTGAATACACAGATGGAGACTGACTGACTGAAGCAACATCGTTTGACTTTGAATCAAGAACGGGTGCTGACTGGAAAAATATCCCTAGACATTACAGATGGAGACTGAAACAACATCGTTTGAACACACTCTGTCTCATATCGAACTTACAGACCTGGAATCTATTCAGCTGTTTCAGAACACTACGATAAGAGTAAAAAAATAGACTACATTCACAAGACAGATGTCAGAGATGCACTGGTATGCTCCAAGTGAATGAATAAAACGTGGGCTCCGTCAGCAGTTGTCTCGGCGCCCTTGTCTGTAGCATTCTTCAACACATGTTAAATACGCCAGGTCGCCAGAAGTAGGACAGGGTTGGCATGGGTGTCACAGGGGGCCAGGGTTGGTTTGGGTATCACAGGTTGTCAGGTTTGGCTTGGGTAGCACAGGTTGTCATGGTTGGTTTGGATGTCGAAGGTTACAGGGTTGGTCAAGATGTCGCAGGATGCCTGCGGAGGACCAGGGTTGTCGTGAATGTTGCCAGGGTCGGTATGGATATCGCAGGTTGCCAGGGTTGGTATAGGTGTTGCAGGTGGCCTGCAGTAGGCCAGGGTTGGTACAATAACTAGACGCAAAGATGGGAACTGACTGGAACAGTATCACTGGACGCAGAGATGAAGACAAGCAACATCTTTTGAAGCAAGTGTGGGGGCTGACTGTAGCAACATCACTGGAAGAAAGGATGGCGACTGACGGGAGCAACACACTGGAAGCAGGGATGGTGACTTACTGGAGCAACATGACTGGAAGGATGGGGGACTGACTGGAGCAACATTACTTGAAGCATGGACTGGGGTACTTTATTGCTTATTTACCGCAAACAAAGAAAACAACAGTTCCCAAGAAAATTAAACATTCTAGGGGTGTTATGGGTTAGGGTTAAGGGGCAAGAATTAGAGTTGGGATCTTTGTCAGTCTTGACCACCTCAGAGACACTGACTAATACTAACTCTCATTCTAACCCTAACCACTAACCCTAACTCTCATTCTAACCCTAACCACTAAACCTAACTCTCATTCTAACCCTAACCACTAACCCTAAACCAACACATAACCTGCCCCAGAATATAAGACATTCCCGGGAGCTTCTGGAATTCCTTTGTTTGGAGTGAATTAAAAATAAAATACAAGAATATAACTGACCGAAAGTATTTTTTAATGTAACTTTCACACAGCTGTTTCTTTATTGTGACATCCACACAGCTGTTTCTCAATGTTACTTTTACACAACTGCTTTTATGTTGTAATCTGGACTTAGCGGTTTCTCTAATAAAAGCTTTATTCATCTGTTTATCTAATGCAACATTTACACATCCGTTGCTATAATGTAACATTAACACAGCTGTAACTTTACAGTGTAACTTTTACACACCTATTTCTTTAATGCAGCCTTTACACATTTGTTTCTGTAATGTAAAAAACCACACATCTGTTTCTCTAATGTAACATTCGCACAAATGATTCTGTAATAACATTCACATAGCTGTTTCTCTAATGTAACTTTTACACACCTATTTCTTTAATGCAGCCTTTACACATTTGTTTCTGTAATGTAAAAAACCACACATCTGTTTCTCTAATGTAACATTCGCACAAATGATTCTGTAATAACATTCACATAGCTGTTTCTCTAATGTAACATTCATACAGCTGTATATCTTTAATGTAACATTCATACAGCTGTTTATCTTGCCAAGCAGATCAAGATGATGAATTCTGTCTCCTGGAGTCCGCGTTAATGATCTTCAATTATCATTTGTGTTTGCATAATTTGTTTGTGGTTGGAGACAGTTCTAGAGCGTGGTTGATTCAGTGAAGATGCTTGCGTCCATAGTTTGTCCCTTCTAATAGTTGCCATTGCAGTTGTCAATAGTGTAGTAAAGTTCATTGCTGCCCATGTGTGTTTGTACTCATTCTATATGTTTGTCTCAGAGTTCAGATGTGACTGTGTTAGTATTCGTTCTATATGTTTGTCTCTGAGTTCAGATGGTTGTGTCTGACGTGTGTGTATGTGTGTGTATATGTGTAAGGGCTTTGAGTGTATTTATTAATGTGGGGATCTTGGGTGTATATGGATATGCGTGGGTTTATTTGTGTACCAACGGATCTAGATGTGTATGTATACATGCATAAGCCTTGAGTGTATTTGTATGTGGGGGGGGGGGGGGGGGGGAGGGAGGTCTTCGGTGTATATGTATATGCGTGGGTTTATTTGTCTACCAACGGATCTAGATGTGTATGTATACATGCATAAGCCTTGAGTGTATTTGGATGTGGGGGGATCTTGGGTGTATATGCGTGGGTTTATTTGTATACCCGTGGATCTAAATGTGTGTATATGTAGGTATGGACCTTAAGTGTATTTATATAAGTGTGGATCTTGGGTGTATGTGTAGTTAGTGGGTTTATTTGAAAACTTATGGATCTAGCTGTGTATGTATGTGTGTTTTTTTAATGTTTATGCTCAAATGTCTGTCAGTCTGTGTTGGTGTCTTGACAGTCTGTGTAGGTGTCTTGACAGTCTGTGTAGGCGTCTTGACAGTCTGTGTTGGTGTCTTGACAGTCCGTGTAGGTGTCTTGACAGTCTGTGTAGGTGTCTTGACAGTCTGTGTAAGTGTCTTGACAGTCTGTGTAGGCGTCTTGACAGTCTGTGTAGGTGTCTTGACAGTCTGTGTAGGTGTCTTGACAGTCTGTGTAGGTGTCTTGACAGTCTGTGTAGGTGTCTTGACAGTCTGTGTTGGTGTCTTGACAGTCTGTGTAGGTGTCTTGACAGTCTGTGTAGGTGTCTTGACAGTCTGTGTAGGTGTCTTGACAGTCTGTGTAGGTGTCTTGACAGTCTGTGTAGGTGTCTTGACAGTCTGTGTAGGTGGCTTGACAGTCTGTGTAGGTGGCTTGACAGTCTGTGTAGGTGTCTTGACAGTCTGTGTAGGTGTCTTGACAGTCTGTGTAGGTGTCTTGACAGTCTGTGTTGGTGTCTTGACAGTCTGTGTAGGTGTCTTGACAGTCTGTGTAGGTGTCTTGACAGTCTGTGTAGGTGTCTTGACAGTCTGTGTAGGTGTCTTGACAGTCTGTGTAGGTGGCTTGTCAGTCTGTGTAGGTGGCTTGTCAGTCTGTGTAGGTGGCTTGTCAGTCTGTGTAGGTATCTTGACAGTCTGTGTAGGTGTCTTGACAGTCTGTGTAGGTGGCTTGTCAGTCTGTGTAGGTGTCTTGACAGTCTGTGTAGGTGGCTTGTCAGTCTGTGTAGGTGTCTTGACAGTCTGTGTAGGTGTCTTGACAGTCTGTGTAGGTGGCTTGACAGTCCGTGTAGGTGTCTTGACAGTCTGTGTAGGTGTCTTGACAGTCTGTGTAAGTGTCTTGACAGTCTGTGTAGTGCGTCTGTGTAGGTGTCTTGACAGTCTGTGTAGGTGTCTTGTGGTATTGACAGTCTGTGTAGGTGTCTTGACAGTCTTGACAGTCTGTGTAGGTGTCTTGACAGTCTGTGTTGGTGTCTTGACAGTCTGTGTAGGTGTCTTGACAGTCTGTGTAGGTGTCTTGACAGTCTGTGTAGGTGGCTTGACAGTCTGTGTAAGTGTCTTGACAGTCTGTGTAGGCGTCTTGACAGTCTGTGTAGGTGTCTTGTTAGTCTGTGTAGGTGTCTTGACAGTCTGTGTAGGTGTCTTGACAGTCTGTGTTGGTTTCTTGACAGTCTGTGTAGGTGTCTTGACAGTCTGTGTAGGTGTCTTGACAGTCTGTGTAGGTGTCTTGACAGTCTGTGTAGGTGGCTTGACAGTCTGTGTAGGTGGCTTGTCAGTCTGTGTAGGTGGCTTGTCAGTCTGTGTAGGTGGCTTGTCAGTCTGTGTAGGTGGCTTGACAGTCTGTGTAGGTGGCTTGACAGTCTGTGTAGATGGCTTGTCAGTCTGTGTAGGTGTCTTGACAGTCTGTGTAGGTGGCTTGTCAGTCTGTGTAGGTGGCTTGACAGTCTGTGTAGGTGGCTTGACAGTCTGTGTAGATGGCTTGTCAGTCTGTGTAGGTGTCTTGACAGTCTGTGTAGGTGGCTTGACAGTCTGTGTAGGTGTCTTGACAGTCTGTGTAGGTGTCTTGACAGTCTGTGTAGGTGTCTTGACAGTCTGTGTTGGTGTCTTGACAGTCTGTGTAGGTGTCTTGACAGTCTGTATAGGTGTCTTGACAGTCTGTGTAGGTGTCTTGACAGTCTGTGTAGGTGTCTTGACAGTCTGTGTAGGTGGCTTGACAGTCTGTGTAGGTGGCTTGTTAGTCTGTGTAGGTGGCTTGACAGTCTGTGTAGGTGTCTTGACAGTCTGTGTAGGTGTCTTGACAGTCTGTGTAGTTGTCTTGACAGTCTGTGTAGGTGTCTTGACAGTCTGTGTAGGTGTCTTGACAGTCTGTGTTGGTGTCTTGACAGTCCGTGGGAGATGGGTGTTGAGATGTTGTAGAGATATTTATTGTAGAGAGTGTTGTTTGCTGTTGTAGAGATGTTGTCTATTGTTGTAGTGATGTTGTCTGTTGTTGCACAGATGTTGTCTTTGCTTTAGAGATAATGTCTGTTATTCTAGTATTGTTGTCTGTTGTGGAGATGCTGTCTGTTGTTGTAGATATATTGTCTATTGTAAAGATGTTGCCTGTTGTAGAGATGTAGTCTGTTATTGTAGAGATGTTGTCCGTTGTTGTAGAGATGTCTTTTGCTTTAAAGATAGTGTCCGTTGTGGATATGATTATGCCGTCGAAATGTTATCTGTTTTAGAAGTGTTGTAGAGATGCTGTCTGTTGCTGTATAGATGTTGTCTACTGTTGTACAGATATTGTCTGTTGTAAAGATGGTGTCTGTTTTTGTAGAGATGTTGTCTGTTGTTGTAGACATGCTGTCTGTTTTTGTAGAGATGTTGTCTGTGGTTGTAAAGATGTTGTCTATTTTAGATATGGTGTCTGTTTTAAAGATGTTGTCTGTTTTTGTAGAGATGTTGTCTGTGGTTGTAAAGATGTTGTCTGTTTTAGATATGGTGTCTGTTTTAAAGATGTTGTCTGTCTTAGAGATGTTGCCTCTCGCAGAGATGTTTTCTGTTGTGGAGATGATTACTGTTCTAATAATGTCTCTTGTTGTAAAGATCATGATGGTTGTCGTAGAGATGTTGTAAAGGTGTTGTCTGATGTTGTAGTTTAATGTCTGTTGTAGAGATGTCTGTTGTTGTTATTGATATGTTGTCTGTTTTAAAGATGTTGTCTGTCTTAGAGATGTTGCCTATCGCAGAGATGTTTTCTGTTCTGGAAATGATTACTGTTTTATGTTGTCTCTCGTTGTAAAGATCATGACTGTTGTCGTAGAGATGTTGTAAAGGGGCTGTCTGACGTTGTAGTTTATTGTCTGTTTTTGTGATGTTGTCTATTGTTTTGTAGATGGTATCTTTTGTAGATATGATATATGCTATAGAGGTATTGTCTGTTGTAGCAATATTGTCTGTTTTAGAGATGTTGTCTGCTGTTGTAGAGATGCTTGTCGTTGTAGAGATGTTGTCTGTTGTTGTGGAGGTGTTGTTGCTTGTCGCGATGATGTCTGTTGTACAGGTGGTTTCTGTAGTAGTGTTGTCTCTTTTTGCAGAGATGTTGAATGTATTAGAGATGATGTCCGTTGTAGAGATGGTAAATGTTATAGAGTTGGTGGCCGTTAAAGAGACTTTGTCTGTTGAAGAGATGATGACTGGTGTAATGTTGCATTTTGTTGTAAAGATCATGACGGTTGTCGTAGAGACCTGGAAAAGATGTTGACTGTTTGTTGTAGTTTGTTGTAAATTGTTAAAAATATTGTGTTTGTAGAGGTATCTGTTGTTGTAGAGATGTCTGTTGTTGCAGAGATGTTTTTTGTTATTCTAGCGATGACGTATCTTGTTGTCGATATGTTTTCTGTTGTAGGGATCTTGCCTGATGTATAAATGATAAAGTATCTGATGACTGTAATTCCTGTCTCAGGTGTCAACATTTTACTGGTGTACACAGACAAGGAATCATTGTTCTTTATCTTTGGACAACCATGTCAGAAAACTCTCACCGATGCTCGTCACAGACAGGTAACATTCATTGTTTACGTTTTGTGTGTGTGTGCGCGCGCGCGTGTGTGTGAGGTAAGTGTCTGTTGTCTGTCATATGGCAGTTACCCGACATCTTCCAGTTGTCTGACAAGTGTCAGTTGTGTGACATGTTCCAGTTGCCATGATAGAATGCCATGCGATTTGGTGTGCCACATAGACTAGAGTGTATGGCATAGACACATGTAACCACGGACACATAGATATGTGTATACCCTTAGATTTAGGTTTTCTAAGACTCAAGAACATACATGACAACAAACATGGTCACATCCTTTGATTGCACGACCTTGCTGGTTTTATTCATTTCATAATTGTGAGAAAGAGTGTTTCTATGTTGGCTCTTCCCCCCCCCCCCCTTTTCTTCCCCATAATCTTACTGTCTATCTCTATTGACTAGCTATTGTTTATCAACAGTAGAGAATCTAGGGCATGTTTTATTGACTCGGAACCCTCATACGTAACATGTACAGTATCAAAATGTGCTGGCCATCGTGCGTCAGACAAATAGTTGTCCCAAGATCTTTTCCTGAAGATGATATCAGTACACTCAGCCGATAAGTAGAATCTGCAAAACAGTTAATAAAGATGCTGAACAAAGTCAAACGAATATGTCAGACTGTAGACAACCTTTTGCTGCTTTTACCATCACGAAGTTTAGGCGTTGTCCAGGACATGTGACATAAAAGGCAGACTCATTGAGTTGATGAATCGACGCTTGCATTCTTCGGCAGTTTGCTAGTGGAATGTTGTTCTCGTTCAGAAGATTCACAACATTAGTATCTGTTGAATACTGTGCTCCTTGAGAAATGATGGGGAGGAACATCAAGGAACGTTGTATCTATTAGATACCTTGTTGCATGAGACAAGATGGGGAGGAATATCGAGAAACGTTGTATCTATTAGATACCTTGTTGCATGAGACAAGATGGGGAGGAACATCGAGGAACGTTGTATCTATTAGATACCTTGTTGCATGAGACAAGATGGGGAGGAACATCGAGGAACGTTGTATCTATTAGATACCTTGTTGCATGAGACAAGATGGGGAGGAACATCAAGGATCGTTGTATCTATTAGATACCTTGTTGCATGAGACAAGATGGGGAGGAACATCAAGGATCATTGTATCTATTAGATACCTTGTTGCATGAGACAAGATGGGAAGGAACATCAAGGATCATTGTATCTATTAGATACCTTGTTGCATGAGACAAGATGGGAAGGAACATCAAGGATCATTGTATCTATTAGATACCTTGTTGCATGAGACAAGATGGGGAGGAACATCGAGGAACGTTGTATCTATTAGATACCTTGTTGCATGAGAAAAGATGGGGAGGAACATCAAGGATCGTTGTATCTATTAGATACCTTGTTGCATGAGACAAGATGGGAAGGAACATCAAGGATCATTGTATCTATTAGATACCTTGTTGCATGAGACAAGATGGGAAGGAACATCAAGGATCATTGTATCTATTAGATACCTTGTTGCATGAGAAAAGATGGGGAGGAACATCAAGGAACGTTGTATCTATTAGATACCTTGTTGCATGAGAAAAGATGGGGAGGAACATCAAGGAACGTTGTATCTATTAGATACCTTGTTGCATGAGAAAAGATGGGGAGGAACATCAAGGATCGTTGTATCTATTAGATACCTTGTTGCATGAGACAAGATGGGGAGGAACATCGAGGAATGTTGTATATATTAGATACCTTGTTGCATGAGAAAAGATGGGGAGGAACATCAAGGAATGTTGTATCTGTTAGATAGTTTGCTCTGTAAGAAATGATGAGGACGAACATCATGGAACGTTGTATCTGTTAGATACTTTGCTCTGTGAGAAAAGATGGGGAGGAACATCAAGGAACGTTGTATCTGTTAGATAGTTTGCTATGTAAGAAATGATAGGGACGAACATCGAGGAACGTTGATACTTTGCTCCGTGAGAAAAGGTGGGGACGAACATCAAGGAACGTTGCATCTGTTAGATACTTTGCTTTGTGAGAAAAGATGGGGACGTTCCGCAGGGTCACAGCTTTTTAAAAATATATTGAGCAGTATATATATATATTGATCAGCATGAAGATGTCTGGTATAGAATCTACATTTATTAAATAATACTTTGACCCTTTTACTTCGTCAGGGCAGGAGCGGCTGGCCGAACGTTTAGAACGATGGCCTGTCAAGCGGGAAAACCAGGTTCGAATTCTTCATAAGGCTGGGGTTTTTTTTTTTTCGCCGGAAGAAAATAAAATCCAGTGCAGTAAAGAGAGCAGGCTATGTGGTGTACACATACGCA